ACTAAACAAGTACTTAAACAGAAATAATTATGGTTACTTGTTAGTTTTCCTTGGTTTTTCAAATTTCATATTTGATATCAACTACTGTAAGTTCAATTTATGGTTTTTGCAAATTTATTTAACATTGTAAAAGTAAGAAAATGTCAAAAAACTCACCTCAGTTAAGATTAAAGGAGCAATACTGTTGATTTCAATATGGTTTCTTAAATTATCTGGAGTAATGTGTGGAAATGGAAGTGTTTTTGAAATCCCAGCATTGTTGATTAACAAGTTCAAACCCTCTTCTTTAACAACATCTTTCACGGTTTTCACAGCTTCTTCAATCTCAATACCTTTAGTGACATCTTCAACCAAAAATACATAACTTCAAAGACAAGACCAAAGAGAAAACTTTAACTACAAAAATTTGTGTTGTAAATACACAGAAAAAATCTACTATTACCATTATTATCTATATTAGATAAATAAAAGGTTTTTATTCCAATCCTTAAATACAAAATATTACCAAAAATATTGCAATAAACTACTACTGCTTCATTTTTAAGTATTATATACTAATTTTTTTAAATTAAGGAAAAAGATCAAATGCCATATTAGATATTTTTAACAGCTTGAATTTTACATAAACACTTACCTAGTTGGATTATATGTAGTTTTGTTGTATCTGGTATAGAATGTTTAACATCTTGTAACTCCTGTGTAGTAAAATATATCTGCATGATTGAGCTTATCTATTGAAAATGTTAAGTACACAAATAATAATATTTCTTAAATTATTAACTATAAACAAGTATACTGGGCACTGATCTGCTCAGGCATTGTAAAATTTTAGAAAAAATGTAACCAATATGAACATAATGAAGTGATAAGACTTGGAGTTCCAGAATTGTTAAGAAAAAAAAAAGACATGCTGTGGATTGAATTACTTGAGAATGGTTTAAAAATTAAAGGATGATACAATTTGAGCTTAAGTTTAGATTTTTTCAACCTTTGTAAATTATAATTTATAGCAAAGTTCATGAATGAGAAAACAAAAGTGGCTATAAGATTGGGTATGTTCTTGAGCTCTTATATTATAAGACATGGTATTATACCATTTATGGGCAACCAATATAAAGGCCTAATTAGTACTTAATTAACTGCCATAATAATAACATGTAAATGCACCAAAAATAATAGTGCTAAAAAACATTATGTAAAATGATAAACTTTTACGGGTTTTTTTCTTTTGAGTGCAATTTCTTTTTCACAACAGTATATTACTGGAACTACTACTAGGTGGTTTACACCTTTTTTAAATACTTCAAATGGAAAAAACGCTTACTAAATGAAAGTCCGACTTCTAGAAATAAACTGTATTATCACTAGTCGTTGAACAAGGCTTTTAATTTTTAATAACTTTGAAAATGTAAAGCATTCTCGCCATAGTCGTTCATTGATTATAAATTTAACTTTTATTGTGTATTAATTTATAATATTATATATTTTTAGTTAGTTTGTTATACAGAATAAGCTTCACTGATATAAAAGTTACTTTTTATTGTGATCTATACAATAGTCTTTTTTCCTGAACTTACCTTTGCTTCTTTGGGTTTTCGACACGAAGCGAAAATATTTTTTGGCGCCGGTATCAAAGCGGTTAATTGTCGCACAATCTCAAATCCAATTCCCCGATTTGTGCCAGTTATAAATATATTTGAAGCCAGTTGCATATTGTTTTAAGTTTGCCCTATGCTGTTAAAATTCATAGGAATTTAAATACCCTTCTTTCTTTCCGAAATGAAGACTAAAAGTAAAGAAAGTTTAACCAGTTGCTTTAAATTTATTACTGTACTCAATAAATCAGCAG